GCCAAAGGTCGACCCTGTCGCTTGCTACAATTTTGACATCAACGCGTACGGATACTGCTGCCCTGGTGAGGGTAACCCTTGCCAGAACGATATTGGAAAGTGTTACTTCAATGGAGAGGGTGTTTCAGGCGGTGCGAGTGGTGTCGTGCCCGATGGTGCGCGATGCCCGCCTCCCCCGGGTGCCGAGTATTGCAGAGGTGCTTGCGAGGAGTAGAATCAAGGGTGTGGAGAGATTACAGCGGCTTGATTTGGAATTCGAAAATACGAACTCGCACATCGCGAGTGCTCTCAATAGAGATACCCTAGGAATGCTCTTGTAGACGAGCAAAGATTTGAGCTATAGAGTTAAATATTACTCAAGTAACTTCTATAAATCCACTCTACGGGTGAAAAAAGGAAATTCGGAAAGATCCCACTTGCGATGAAGCCTTCCAGGGCGAACAGCCTGTCCAACCACTTTTGTATTCAGTGTCACGAAATTTCTACGCATTTGCAACTTCTGACACTGCTTGTTGCCTTTGTCCACTATAGTTGAAGAATTAATTTACTTGATTCGGCTGGATTTGGCCTCCGCTTCGGGGCCTGGATCAGACTCATGAGTAACAGCTCCTCTATTCATCAATGGGAGGCTAGTTTAAGAGTACTGAACCTTGCCCTTGCCTTTCGGAGGATTACGATCCCTAAGTTTACGGTCAGGCCGCCTCCAAAGACGATAGAACTCGTGCTTTAGCCATTTAGTTATCAGTGAGAGGCTCATATGAAAATTTGCGCTTTACCACGCATACTCAGCTCCTAGTGGTATTAATGTGCAGTAAGTTTGAAAGTATCTATTGAGGCGAAGTCGATACTGGTGACACAGAACGATGATTAACCAATCATTCTCGAAGGGCGTTCGGTCAGAATGAATTAAATCGGCATTGATCTATCGTCTAATACGTTGGGGCTTGGCTGGAAAGCAAACAAAATCCAATCTAAGATTATCTTGCCTGTGTCATGACTACTCCATGATAGGATGAAACGCCCATATCTATAGCTTCGCAACACCGAACCCGTTCTGCCTGGCCCGTCCAAGCAGACCTCTTGAGATGTCCTTGAGCTTTGCGGTTCCCATCAGTGCCATAGCTCTTGTCAACTCTCTCTCGAGGATGTTGAGAACTCCCTCGACTCCCTTCTGACCATCCCAAGCCAATCCCCACAGTGCAGTTCTGCCAATGAGAACCAGGTCGGCGCCGAGGGCGAGGGCCTTGAACACATCGGTTCCCCTTGTGATACCGCCGTCGACGATGACTGGGATTCTGCCTCTGACAACGTCCGTGATCTCAGGTAACGCCTCAATTGTCGACGGCACACCGTCAAGTTGGCGCCCACCGTGATTTGACACAACGATGGCATCCACACCAGCCTCTACTGATCTCTGCGCATCTTCCGCAGTCAAAATTCCCTTCAGAACGATCTTCATCCTGGTTTGCGACCTCAACCAAGGAATGACCTCGTTCCACTCCAAGCTGGCGTCGACGAGATGGTCGTGGTTCTCTTCTTGGATCTTCTTATGCTCCGCCATCGTCTTAGCGCGCAAGAGTAGCCCGGCTGTGGAAATGGCGCCGGACTTGCGCGACTCAACATTGGCCATAGCAATTCCTGGAGGGAGCTCCAGAGGGGTTCTCCGTTCTTGCAGGCGGTTGCCCAAGATGACAGTGTCGACAGTCAGGACCAAGGCCTCGTAGCCCGCGTTCTCGGCTCTCTTGATGAGCTTCGCCGTGAGATCTCGGCTGCCGAGGAAATAGAGCTGGAACCAAGGACGGGGGTAATCTGGGCCGCGCTGGGGGATTGCTGCTGAGACATCCTCGAGAGAAGTCGTGGCGTTGCTTGATAGCGTGAGGTTTGTTCCGAGGTTGAATGCGGCGCGAGCAACGTCGAGCTCGCCCTCCCCGCCGACCAGTTTCTGATAGGCACTCGGTGCGATCGCGATCGGGATATCGTAACGTTTGCCGAAGATTGTGGTTGAGGTATCAATGTCGCTCACGTTGCGAAGCATTTGAGGCCGTAGGAGGATGCTGCACGGTAATGGATGGTTAGAATACTAATCAGCCGTGAAGATTGCGGGGGATGCGACTCACTCATTGTAGGCTTCATGATTGCGCGCAAGTGTATACTCGTCATCAGCGCCGGTCACGTAATAATCCCATACTGGCTTGGCGAGCTTCTGTTGCGCGATCTTGTGAACGTCCGCGATGTTCACCGGCTCCATGATTGGCTCTTTGATGAGCGTCATCTTGCCTCGAATGCTACGTCTGCGTGGTGTTGCTTGGTAGTGGAGGCCTAGGTTCAAGCGAGAAGCTATTGTCGTCAAAGATCAAGCAATTGGCAACCTTATCAGCGCGAGAGGATGGGACTCGGAGCTTTATTTACTCGACCGAGTGACGGTCCGATCTCGGGCCCACGATGGATCGCGTCACTCGGTGCATGCTCGGTATCCGCCCGGCGGTCTCGTCAACCGCTGCAAGTTACCCAATTCACTCGAGGGTGGGTGAACTACCGTCAAATCGTGACCCGTCAGACTGGATCGGTCCCAAACAGAAGGAAGCTTCGTTGCTTCAGCGTTCGTGTTGGAGCTTCATTTAACGTCATACTTCCAAAGCATTGGCGAATTAACCCTTGCCTGACATGGAGCTTTCCCTGCTAGAGCATTAGCTGCTTGTGGGGTCAAGGCTCTGGCCGGGATTTTTTGCCTCTCTGAGAATCTGGAGCTGAAAGTTCTGGGGAATGACTAAGGTGACCCCCAACAATCCACAGATACTCCTGAGCTCCGGGTTATATCCCCAACATCTCAAGCTCAGGATCAAGGGGCACGTGGGGGCAGTCAGAGGTCGTCTTTCAGGAAGGAATCGTAGTTTTGAGTAAGGTAATCATTCGAAGCTTGACTGAGGCTCTGCGTGACAGCACGGGCAACCTGCCATGAATACACTCATCTGGATTGTGGGGTAGCAATGCTGCTCAGGTCACAACGGCGACCATACCGCCATGCCCTCAACTTTGAACTCAAGGTCAACGCGCGAGCTTTGAGAAGGTTCCTCCGTACGGATGTCAGAAGATCAAGGACTTACAAATAGCTGCAAAATCACACAAAGCATCCGAACAAATCGATTTGTCTCGGCGAGACTCGGTGAGACTCGACGAGACTGAGGGTTACAAGCTTTACGCTGAGGTGTCTTGTTAAGACATCTTCGCTGACCTGTATGCGTGCATCACTGAGTCTGCCTATCGAATGCCCAATGACCTTCGAGTCCAGTAATCCAGGCATCACATTTCAAAGCATCTGGCTTTGAGTGGTATGAGGTTCTCAAACGGTCGCACGAATTTCTTCGGGATAAGTGCGTTGCGCAAGCCTCATATTCAAGCTTTATCAATTGTCACAATACATAAGAAAGCTCTCAACTCCTCCATGTCGGACAAGCTGCTTGTTGTAAGCTGGCGCGCGGGACTAGGTTCTCGTCGCGTGGTAAGCGGCCTGAGTAGCGACTTTTCCGGTTCCGGAAAAGTCGCTACTCTCCAGAGAGTCGTCCTTGTCGTCATGGACACAGTGGAGAAGCATTTGTCAGCTTGAACTGTATTAGCAATCCGCTTCACATTCCAGCTACGCGAATATCTACAGCATCTTGCAACATATATATGTACAATTGCAACATCCTGCGGTAGCTCAGCTTTGATCATATATACTCGACATCATAGTCCAAATAGTTCCCATCTGAATTCATTGTTTACCCTATCCTCATCTCGTCACATCCCATCACAATGGCTGCTGCACGTCCCACTGGTCTCATCGCCAAGAAGGGCATCGAGCTCTTGACATTCGGTAAATTATTTAAGACAATACACTCTGAGCTATGAACTCTTGCTAAACGACTGTACTCAGGCACTCCGAATGGCTATAAGGCTAGCATCATCTTAGAGGAACTGAAGGAGGCTTACGGGCTCCCTTTCGTAGTCCAAAGCATCAACATCATGCAAAACATCCAGAAGGAGCCATGGTTCACATCACTCAACCCCAACGGCCGCATCCCTGTCATCGTAGACCATGACAACGAGCAGCTTGCTGTCTTTGAGGGCAGCGCCATTCTCAGCTATCTTACGCGCAAGTACGACACTGAGCACAAGTTCTCATTCGCCCTCTCGGACAATGACTACACCCGGGCCGAGTCTTGGATTGGCTGGCAACACGGTGGACTGGGGCCCATGTGAGTGTAGCCGTCTCACGATGTTGAGGGGAGAGACTAATGCTTTCATCAGGCAAGGTCAAGCGAACCACTTTGTCAGGTTTTCCAAGGAGAGAATCCCCTACCCCACCCAGCGCTACGTCGGTGAGACGGAGAGACTGTTTGGCGTTCTGAACACCCATCTCGATAAGCGGGACTTTGCTGTCGGTCCGGATCGCGGGCGCTACAGCATCGCTGATATCTCAATGATTGGGTGGGTGCAAGGCGCTCCCATGGCAGGCGTGGATATCTACCAGTTCCCGAACGTCAAGGCATGGTTGGACAGATGCTATGAGAGACCTGCTGTTCAGCGAGGCATCCAGATTCCCAGCTCTCCGTACATGTCGGTTGCCAGCATGGAGCAGAGACTGAAGGAGGAAAAGGACCTTGTCGAGAGTGAAGCCGAGGTCAAGAAGCAAGTTGATGAGGCGAAGAAGGCTTATGGTTACGTCTACTCATCACCGTAGATTATGGGTGGAAAACATAGGTCGGCTTTGGCCTTTGTATGATAGCATTAAACAAAACTTTCGTGACAGGAAAGGAATTATAAAGCGCGCTTCACTTTGGGTGGGGATAAGGTGCAAATGCCGTTGATTTTCAATCCGTCTATTCTAATCCTTGCTAAACAAACTACCAATGTCCTCGATATAAGTGCCCTGCCCCATTCTGTTCCTCAAAGTATTGAAAAGACCTTTGCCGATGATCAAATTAAAGCCAGAGCCTGGATGAATAAACCTCCTTAGGAATCTATTCCTCCTCAACCCGAACGGAGAGATCAATTTCCTCCTTGCGTCGACGAACCGAGATCTTGGCATCCGAGTCCGATTCGCGCGTGAACCCAAACTCTGCAAACTTCGGCTTCTGGCCCTCGACGAATTTGATGTCGTACTTCAGAAGCATATGAGCAAGCAGAACCTTGGCCTCATTTCCCGCGAAGAAGCGGCCCGGGCAGGAGTGCATGCCGTGACCGAAACCCATGTGGTTCACGCTGGTGCTGACAAACTGGCTGACTGCGTCGTTGGGGCCGCCGCGCTCACGGTAGAATCGATAGCCGTCGAAGACGTGCGGGTTCTCGTAGATTTTGTCATCCCACATGCGTTCGGCTGAGACAACAGTCGCGCTGCCGCGGCTGATAACCGTTCCATCGGAGAGCTGGACGTCTGCTGTGGCGCGACGGGCCATTCCCACTTGAAAAGTCTGTGAGAAAAGTTTCCTTGGGTCTGCAAGTCATGCAAGGAGAGCATTGGAAGAACTTACCAATCTGATTTGGCTTCAGTCGCTGACTCTCCTTGAGAACACTGTCCATGAGCTTCATGTTGTACAGCGACGTCTTCTTCCATCCTCCTTTGCCAATGACTTGAATAGCTTCTTCTCGAAGAGGTTGAATAAGCTCAGGGTGCTGAAGAATGTCGTAAAGAGTCTGGGTAACTAGGTCCGCCGTGGTGTGGATCGCCACGCCAGCCAGAATCAACTGTGCGACAGCTGGGTTGAACTTCTGCCCCTTGGCCATCTCCTTGAACCATTCGATGGCATCGTTGTACTCCTCGACAGAGTCCCCTTCCTGTTGACGGTGCTTGATCTCCGCAAAGACTTGAGTCTCGGCGTCTCTGATGTACGCGCGCAGCTTTGTGGGTCCGGGGAGGAAGTACACCACGATGCCTCGAAGGAACTTAGGCCAGAAGCGGAGGTTTTGCATCGCGTGGACGCTGAGCTCGACGTAGCCTACGATGGTGCTCAGCCATTTCTCGTTGCGTCCTAGCCGTTTCCCGACAAAGATCCGGGATGACATCCGGGACACAATCTTGAGGATTTCATGTTTGGCCACCGTGTCATGCCATTCTGCGCCATTCATCAGCACTGAGTCAAAATCCGAGATGTTGATGTTGTGGGATCAAGTGTACCAGTCGAATCACCTAGCGTGTCCTGTAGGCTTTCTTCAACTTCCTGCGAAAGAATGCCCGAAATCCTGCCTGCAAAGGATCGTTCAAGGTTAGCATTAACCAAGGCGAATAGGTGGCTACAAGATCACCGCTAGACGTACCAAGGGTCTTGGTTAGCCTTAGCTTGACCACATTCTGAATACGTTCGGAAGGATGGCAGGCTTCCTTGTAAGCCTCGAAGCCCGCATATTGTCCTTGGAAGTCCTTAGTCATGTATGTTAGTAAACGTTTTCTCGTCGAGCAATCGAATCCCCTATTATCCCCCCTTCGAAGACGCACCTCGAATAGGCCTTGAACAAAGCTAAAGCGCTTGTCGTTCCGAATCTCCTGGCCAACATCAGGTGGCAGGATAATGACATCTCCAACATCACACAGCACACGGAAAGGCTTGCCGAGGAAGTCCTTTGCAGATGAATACAGCATTCGGTAGGAATTGAATACAAACTCCCGAACAACCCTGTCCGAGGACCACTCGAACCGTCCTTTGGGATTGAGATACGGGAGCTTGGTGCCATGGTCTCTCATCCAGAACAGCACGAGAATGGCAAGTGGTACGCATGTCCCGAGCACATAGTACCAAGGGGTTTCGCCGACTTCTTGGCGGTCCGTAGCCGCGTTGATGAGCGATTCGTTGGAAAAGGTAATAGTCTCCATAATGGTCGTGTAAGAATTGATTTATTGTCTGGCGCTTGATTGGTGCAATGGTGTTCAGATAAATCTGAGAGCTTCAATCCCAATGTGGCCGCACGACATATACCCATCACCATGGCGGACTATCGGACTGACGACAATTCGGTGGGACGCACCAGCCATCCGGACGTTGAACCTCCGTGAGTCCGCGATCCGTAGTTTTCGGACGAATACATGTTCAAGCCGGCCCGTGTCCGCACCGACTGAACAGAATCCGAACGGCATCCTCTCAGATGAAGCCAATCAAAAGGCTCATTGACGGGCGTTCGGACAAATATCGATCGGAGGACGGTGCTCATCCCACCGGTCTCGATGTCGCAAGTCAGTTTGTCTCCAGTCTCAACTGCCAGCCAAGGCGCGGCTCGTACCGAACGTGAAGCCTGGCGCCAATCAATCTCTCTGCTTACTCAATACTCTTGGGATTCATCTCCATCTGCCGGTGGGATGAATGAACCATGCTCAGGAAAGTTACGTCACGACTAAATGATCGACTCAAAATCAAATGCCGTCAGGAAGTCTAATTTCATCGTTTCAGATTACAATTATCTACGGTCACTACAGATCTTGGCTTATTTGCCCATACTTTGTCTAAAGTTCATCTAAGCACGTAAGAGACGGTTCCAAACCAATAGAGGAACTCTAGCCATCTTCAAGCGAATTTGTCGGTGTACTCCGCAAACACTTTTGCCCGGCATCAACAATTTCATCTCGTCCTTCCCAATCTTACTCTTCAAGAAATGTCCGCCTGTTTTGATTGCATACAGCGTCTCAAGCAAAGAGCCAGTAGCGTTATTACAAAGAAGTCAGGTTGACGTGATTCCAGGTCACAAACGGAGAGAAAAAGGTGCAAAAAGGGCAAAAAGGGCAAAAAGGGCAAAAAAGGGCCCAGCAAGGAGTCGAACTCAAGGGGTCGAGGTCCGTCTCAACAGAGACATGTGGAAATCCCACGACACCAGCTGAGTGTTCCGCTGGGCCAAGGCGCCCAAGCAGGCGCCTTCTACTTGTGTGACTGGGAAGGTTGAGTTGATTGTATAGGCTTTGGCTGTTGGTGAGCAATGAGAGAGGGCAACCCGGATGGGACGAGGCTGGGATAGAGTGTGAGACAGGAGTGGGTGCCAGGTGATCGCGGGCCATCATGCCCGCCGTAGATGTTTAAGTGATCCATCCAGGTTCCGATACAAAGCGAGTGCGACATGCACAGGCCCGGTTGAGCTGGCTGTACAGCATTGGGGATTGATTCTCAAATGTAACCCGATCTGGGTCAAAAGAGGCTTCAGGAAGCACGCTGATTTCCAGCAGGGAAGATATTCATGGAAAGATATTCCCGCTGCGTTTAGAAGAAGGCATCGACGATGAAGATCGTACCTATCAACCCCGACATCGGTTGCTGCTAAATTAAGAGACTCAGAGCTCAATGAAATGAGCCGGACGGAAAAACACATCTACTTTCAGTTGAAGAGATCCCTCCACATTTCCTTGAAGCCATAGTGAGGAGCCCTGGAATCGTATATCTTGGCCGATGTTCCCTCCTTACTAAAGCGGTCAAAAACCGTGACTTGACCGCCCCCTGCTGCATCGAATAATGTCTTTGTCGGCCTGGTGGCTCTCTCGCGGATAGTTTCTGCCACAAGGGGCGCGACATCGGCGTAACAAGCCTTGAGCTCTCGCTCAAGCGAGAAGTACGGCTTCTTCGCTAGTTCTGGCGCCATAAGGTTGTAGGAACGCGTGATCGCATTGAGGTTGTTGACGGCGAGGTTCATATACGAGCTCTCAGTTGCAAGCCAATCAGAGTCGCGGAAGGGTTGTACCAGTGGCCGAGCAGGCTTCGTCGGCGCTGCCTCTGGTCCGGCTTCGCTAGTGCTGTTGCCCTCGACCGCCTGTTGACGCACCTTCGCCATGACAGGATCATCGGTCACATTGGTGGGAACCGAAATACTGTCGCTGTTTCTCTTGCGCGGATTATGGCGTTCCTCTGCACGAGCATAGTCCTCGGCCAGTTGCATCTTCTCCTCCAAGCTCCCACCTTTTGACGAAATCATCCTGGCGACGTGCCTCCTCCAGTCGTTGCGTAATCTTGCCCTGAAGATGCCAGCGGTTTTGGCCAACTCTTGCTGCTTCTCTATCCATGGCGGGACAATCTCCTGCCTCTTGATCATCTTGTTCATTATGTACTCGGTGGTATCGATGAAAGGGTTATCGGCTCTTGCGTCTCTTTCTACCCCCTTGCCGCGAGGGATGTTCTTGAACTGCCCACGAGCAATGGCGTCCTCTATTCTTTCGTTGGCCAGTGACTCGAGGCCTGATATAGTGTTTGGCACAGCTCGAGCTGCTGCTCCAAATCGGTCGCGGAGCTCTTTTCTAAACTCTTCGCGTTCCTTGGCGCTTTGCCCGCTCTCCTCTTTAAATCCCAGTGCAGTATATGTCGAGGCCTTCTCGCGAGCATTCGCAGCCCGCTGGCTAGGATTCGTCTTTGACTCTTTTCGCATCCGCATGTCAACGGGCGGAATCTGGAATTGTCCCCTTAGCTCGGGCTTGAGGGGCTTCTTCGCATCGTTGAGCATTCGCAGAACCGTATCAGACTGCGCCTCGTCTCCCGTCCAAGCCTGCGCCGCAGCTATTGAACGTGTCCCCTCGCCTGCTGAAGTGGGCATTTGAGCCTCTGCGAAAGCGGATGCGTATTGGGATCGGAATTTGGCGGTCTCGACCTTGTCGAGAAGCCGCTGCTTCAGCTCTTCGGAAAACCCAGCATCCTCAATAGCTTGACGCCCGCGCCGGCCACCAGTCAAAAGAGCTTCTTCTGTAGCTTCCTCGAGCTTTCGCGACATGGCTCCCTTTTCTTTCTCTGGGCCATTATCACTGCGATTGGGTGTTGGAGCTTCGGAAGCTTCGGGGGATCGGTCGGATGTGTAAAATCGACATCTCGCTGCGAGTGGTTCGGTGCGCCAACGTAAGGATAGACGGCGTCCCCAGGGCAGCGGTGTTCGTGAAAGCCTAGTCGCCATACTCAAGATCCCAGTCCTCGGTGGACGTCGGGGGACAGAACATGGTTGAGAGGGTTGAGCTATGGCCGCGGGTTTGTTAAGAATTAGCCTTGCTTTCGTGATGTCAACGAAAGGAAGAAAGTGGCGATTGACGGAGTTAAGCACGGGCCAGCGGTTAACCAGCCGATGGGGTCCACCTTTTCACGGAGCGCGATCGGGATAGACCCATATTTTGTTCGGTAAGACGGTGCTGCAAAAGCCGGCGTATCTCGGCGATCGAATGCCTCCTCGCCTTACCGGCATCCAATTGTAACTACCTTGCCTTGAAAATTGGGTGCAAAAACAATTTGCTGATAAATGAACAGTCTTGCCGCTACTTCCGGTGACACTGCTATTGTCATCATGACTTGTCCTGCACTCGTAAGTTGACTAGCAATCTATTCTATTCTCCGCTTGCTAGAACAGCATGTCACCCAAGCCCTAAAGCAAGACTTGATGGAATTGATGCGCACCATAACAATCCCTAAGCCACACATTATATCACAAACACACAGACCCAGGGTGAGATAGTTTCATCCATTGCCCGAGAAGAATCGATAAATGCTCAGTTGACTTATTTCCCATCGCAATCCTCCATACCTCTTTACTTTCCAAAGATCTGGTGACCCAATACTCAAACGGTAAAGTCTACCAACACCTTGTCCATCTCGGCGTTAAAGCTCTCATAATAATCCTGTCTCTTATTCTCAAACGCGTCAAACATGGGTTTCGCGGTTCCCACTGGGATCTGTTCCTCTCCGTTGGCCCATCTCTGGTAGACTTCATCGGCGAATTCGTCTACCGGCATGCCAATAGCATGGCCGTTCTTCAAGTCCGGCTGATTCCTCGCATCGTGCAGTTCCGTCTGTACTGCAGGCGGGTAAACTTCAACAATCTTGACCCTTGAAGACGCATCCTTGAGCTGGGATCTGAGTGCGAGAATAAAGCCGTGCATAGCAGCCTTGGAGCCACTGTAGTTGGGGCACCGCTTCATCGGAATGAGGCCGAGCTGAGATGTGGTGTAAAGTAAGGCGGTCTGCTTGTCTTGCTTTGAAAGATGGGGGAGGAAGGCCTTGGTCAAGTGGACATGGGAGAGGTAATTTGCGAGAAGCTCATCATAAACGATGTCCAAACTGACGTTTTCAGGCTTGGTGAAATCGATACCTCGCTGAACTCCGGCGTTCAGAAATACACAATCAAGATCAGGGTGCTCGTTGATTATGGACGAAGCAAACTCCGGAATCTTTAGACATTTCGTTAGTCTTATCCTTTACCATACCTTCATGAAGGGGAAGAGCCTCAACATACCGACTCCAATTTGAGGATATCCACGACAGCTGCCGCAGCCTTGTTCGCGCTGTGCTTCGCAACGAACTTGTCGAGGTTCTCCTTTCTTCTACCGGCAGCGATGACGAAAGTGCCATTCTCGACAAGTTTGTCCGCTAGAGCTGCACCGATTCCCGAGGTCGCTCCGACTAATAGGACTTTCTGGTAAGGCAGAGACATGATAACTGCAGATGGAGTGGCTAAGACCAATTGGATATGTGAGATGCGATGTAACAGAAGAAAGCGATAGCTAACGTAGATGTTTAGTATTGCTCAGATTTGGCTTGGAATCTCAAAACAATCGTGCTTTATATTCATATTCATACATCCGAATTGGCTAGTGTTGGCTAGCAGCCAGGAATTTCTAGTGAACCCACGACATTTGTAAGCCTGTACAGGATTTATCAGCGTAAAACCTGTATAGAATCTGAAGACTCGACTAAACCCTAGCTTAGAAGATTCTGGGCTGATCGTGGGGATGGATCGGTCCGCTTGTCTTGGTACGGACTGCTCCGGTTCGCCTCCTGGTCCGACATGTCGGCCAATGGGGGGCCTACGCCGATTCAGCTCGGATTACCCCCACACCACGCTATAAATTTGAGTAGTGAGCCAACAACCACCGGTCTCACTACGACCAAAGTAATACGTCATCTCGTTCTTCTTTCCCCTACAATAACGAATGTAGCAAGTCATTCCATGGTGCACTTCTAGTTGACTTAGACATGTGTATCTCCCTATGCTGTTCGAGTCTAGGTCCGACCTACTGATCCAGGCTTCGCTGTAGACCCTCAGTCCTCGCATACTGCTACATTAACGACCAACTTGAGCAATGCCATGCGTGACTTCTTCAGGTTCTAGCATACTTGAATATCTTTACGCCTTCAAAGTGCTGATTGTCAAGTAAACTGCTAAATTTCAAAGATTTGGCAACGCCCTGTCAAATCTACGCCCGCACTCTTGTACACAAATTGGCGGGGACAACTTCCGGCTGTCAACTTGGTCAATGCCAACCCCGGTGCTCCCTGGTTCACTCACGTAAAAATAAACCAACTCTCATCTTCACGTTGACCAAACGCAGGACTACTTTAATCAAACATAAAAATACTATCTAAAAGTAACTTCCGAGTCTAGCCAGCGCATAGTTCCATGCAAGCTCAAGTGATATCTCGAGGCTCTTCTGTGTTATTCAGATGATGATCTGATTTCTATGGCTTCCTTCTGTCTTCTCAAACCGCATGTTTGTCAAAGTATATTGTACAAATTCTCACGACTCATAATTTGTTCTTGATTGAGATATACAAGACCTCCGCTGTTGCAAGCACTTCGCCGTTCTCATCCTCTAATTGAGCCGCAACAAAATACTTGCGGCCCTCAACTCTGGCTATCCTCGATCTCACTAGCACCGTTCCCGGCGCAGGAACAGGCTTTCGAAATGACGTGTTCAAGTAACCCGTTCTGAAATCTTTGTTGGGCTCTGTACCCGCCGGCCTCTGGGCTACAATGTGAATGCCCGTAACTTCATCCATCACCAAGGCAACAACGCCTCCGTGAGCCGTCTCGGGAAACCCAATCATGCCATGGTCAAACGTGATGAGAGAACACAACTCATCGACCTTCCAATCGGGACCTTGCGGCTTGGGGTGTATGATCAACCAGGCTTTGATGGTGTCTGGTGTGTTGAGAGTTCCGCCGACGTACGTGTTCTCTCTTGTAGGAAGGACAGTTCTGTTTTGGGAGACTTGCACCACGTGGGACGAATTGTCGGATTGACTGAGGAGTCTGGCACACCATGGGATGGACGCGAAGTGCTTGTAATCAGGGTGTGACTTGACGTCGGTGTTAGTCATGGTCGGCGAGTTGATAACTGGGTCGATATGCTGAACTCAAGACGTTGATGACAGAATTGCAAGTGACAAGTGAGGGTGAGGGGTCCGGCCCCGACACCTCGGGTTCGGACTGTTGCGGTGGGTCTCACGAGACACCCGAGGTAGTGCAACTTGGAGAGGAAACTAGTGCAGGGGTTGGAGGACCCCATCGCGTCCTTGCAGTTAAGCTGAATGCACATGAAGGCTTGTCTAGGACTAGCTAGCACAAGAGGCGTACAACCCTGAGCATCTTTTCTGCACTCCATCAACGGCCACTTGTCGATATATCGGACGACACGTGGACGTCTCGGTTTTGGTCTCATTCTCGAACACTTCGTATCATGGTCCAAGTAGCGGCTTCAGCACCCATGACTCGCAGCCCAGCCATGCCATATCACCACGTATTGAACCTTTGCGGATCACGGAAGCAATAGCGCTATTCTAGACAACCGACACCAGTAATACATAACATGCAATGAAGTCGGTTCAGGGCTACAGAAAGTGAGTTTTAAGCTTGTTATAATCTGATTTCCAAGCCATCGAAAGCTTCTTAGAGTTTCGCGCCTCGATCAGAAGCTCGTTTGTGCTCCTCGCGCCACGCAAGGTCACTCAGAATCTCCTCACTCCCCCCACCAATGACTTTCAAACGGAGGTCCCGAGAAATCTGCTCCGTCATGGTCACCCCCTTTTCGTAGCCTATTCCGCCGTGGATTTGCTGGCTCTCTCTAACGGCTTGCTCCACGATCCTGCCGCCTTGGATCTTTGCCAACGCAATTCTGCTTGCAACGTCCTTGGTCTGCCAGCCGTGAATATGGACGTGGTAGGCAATTTGCTCCAGCCACGCCCAATGACCCTCGACCTCGCGAGCAAGCGCCGCCAGCTTATGCCGTATAATCTGATTCGAGGCGAGAGGTTTTCCAAATGTCTCTCGATCATGTGCGTGCTGCAGTGCCTCCGAAAGACATATTCGGGCTTGTCTGTTGCAGTCCACTGTGAGGATGAAGCGTTCCTTATTGAAGTTTCGCATGATGATAGGGAACGCCCCGTTCTCTTTGCCCAGCAAGTGATCAGCTGGCACCTTCACGTCTTCCAATACGACCCATGAGGAACCACCGGCGTTGTGCCCGGAATTATGGATCTTCCTGATCGTGACACCGGGGGAGTTCAAAGGCACGACCAGCAGCGAGATACCACTCCGCCCTGGCTCGCCCATTCGGACGGCGGTGGTCATGTGAGTTGCCCAAGGTGCTCCCGTAACCCACTTCTTGCGGCCGTTGACGACATAGTGTTTACCATCGGGAGCTTTCTCTGCAGCAGCCCGGATGGCGCTCACATCACTGCCGGCCGTGGGCTCCGTGATGGCGAGACAGAAGCTAGTCTCCCAGGTAAAGAGACCAGGAAGCCATCGTCTCTTCTGCTCCTCAGTCCCGGCAGCAAAGATGGGCGGCGCACCCACATTGGATGCCCCCGCCAGAGCGAGGGGGACCCCACTGGGCATGCGGGCCATCTCGTCCATGAGAATCAGCTCGTGAAAGACATCCAGCTTGTCGAACGCAATACCCGCAATAGTCATGAGTTCCTTGGGTCGGTACTCTTTTGGGACATCGAGGAAAGCAAGACCGGACTTGGCAAACTTCAACCTCGCTGATAGAGGGGCTTCCCCAGCTGCCTCCCATTCCTGCGCGTAGGGAAGCAAGTGAGTCTCGACAAAGTCTCGTACGTACGTCTGGAACCGCCGGTGAGAGTCATTGTAGTAGGGACTCTCCAGAGCATGGAACCACGCCGGCTCGCTCCACCTGAATCCCGTGTTAGATGATAACTTGAACGGATGAGGAAAAAGGGTGGATTGGGGTAGTACGGAGCGAGGACGCCTGTCGTCTTGTATTCCTTACCGGGGCCGGCCTGCCTTGATCCTTTGGCGGTTATCTCGGACATGTTGCAATTTCGTTGCCAGTTCTGTGACCTGTTATGCATTTGATGTGCGGAGATTGGTGCTGATGACTAAACATCCGTGTCCAAGGGGCATGGATCTCGTAATTGAATGAGCTGGTCCTTGAGAGCACTTGGGAACGCTTTTTGATGAAGTAGCAGGCGATAGACATCGCGCGGGGAAGAGGAAGTTGCAACCAAAGCATGTTACGCTAAAAACTTTGCGTTTGCAGGGAAGCACTTTCAAGTGAAGTTTGTATCAGACGTGACTAGTTCAATGCGATGCGATCAAGTTGGCGCGAGTCAAGAGAGCAAAAATCAACGGCGATTGCTCAATCTGGCCGGTTCCGCCTGGACTCCGCTTCAGCTCAAGAGGTGTTGGTCAGTTCGTCCGGGGAAGACAACAAGGGTTATCGGTCTTGGCCTCCGAGAGACAACCCGCGGGGTCCTGACAAAAGTCCGAGGACCTGGATCCCGCTCCGTACCAGGCGCCTACCAGCCCCAATCAAGAGAGCTTGCCTAACGTGATTTACGACCAGTGCATCGTAGCGAGAACAAAAGCTTGTTTCATTGACAATCCCAGTTATTCCGTTGTGGAGTGCCAGCGACTCGTTTAATTCGTGGTGATTCAAATCCCCTCACGCGGCAAGGGGGTGCCTACAACTTCTTTTAGACTTTGGTGCAACAACGTCAAGTACTCTCTACACAACTTCACACGTCGTATGAATAAACATATAACTAAATAGTGGTCGACCGAAGATCCTGTACTTCGACAATCTTTCCACTTCTTGGGTTAACAGCGAGTTCCTGCATGGTAATAAACTTAATCCTCAACGGGTTGATGAGGTCCTTCTCGACGTGTTCCCGAAACATGGGACGCACCTCGCCCATCTCTTCCCTCAGCTCCGCCTGCAGCTGTGAACTCTCCTCATCTGTAGCCGGGGTAAATGCGACATTCAGTGTCAAGAGGTCTTTTCTGTCTTCTCGTGTGACAATGGCTTGCAAACGCCGGACTGGTCGGCCTCTGAGGATCGTGGACACTATGCGCCGGAGGTCCACGAAGTCGACGGAAACGGGTCCGAGGCGGATGGCCGTGCGGTCCCTGTCGAGGACACGGAAAAGGCCTAGAGCTGGGTCAACCCAAGCGGCCCGATCTCCAGAAGGGTAGCGAACAATGGGCATGAGTTGACGCTCCAGGTTGGTCACGACCAAGCTGCCGACCTCTCCTGGGGTAGTAGTGACCTTGTCGTCTTCAGTGATGATCTCCACGATGATGTTTGGATCGTTGACTTGGTGAAGCCTGGTGTCGTTTGTGTAGTGCTCTGGCTTCGGTGGTAAGCCGATGATTCCGCAGTCCATAGACCCGTAGACGACCGATCTGATTGTTGCATTCGGGAAGGCAACTTTCAGCAGCCCGGCCTGATCATCATAGAATGCTTCCCCTGAGAAAAGCAGCAGGCGGACATATGAGTGGGTCTTGCCACTGCTGAGGATGCGTTCTGAGAGTTGCGACATGGTAGTCACCGTGGCGAGGATGACCGTTGCCTCGAACTCAACGATCTGTCGTTCCATAGACTCCAAGGATACGTGTCCAGCTATGGGAAGCTGGACTGCACCGCTCGGAAGATGATAGACAGAGAGGATGTGCAATAAGAAGCTGCCGTAGAGGTCGCCGGCGTAGAACAGATTGGCAACCATGTCTCCCTCGCCGACTCCGCAGCGTCCCAAGCTCTCTGCTAGTTGTGTCGAAAGGCCATGAAGTTCCTTCTGGTTATAGAACGACACTTTGGGGTGTGTGGTTGTTCCTGGACAGAGCAATGTTAGTATACATGTATTAAAAGTTGGTCAACCCGCCATGGAGCCTGGAAGGCAGCCTATGATAAGTGGTATGAGAAGTGCGCACAACTCGCCTCCAGTTTTGAAAACAATGCCATCTTTCTGTTTTGATGTCACAACCTTACTGTTTCGACATGTGTTTGATGCCCAGAAAGACTCATGGTCAACGACGGGCAAATCCCTTAAAGACACCGACGCATCTTCAAGAGTCTTACACAGCTTCCAGGACTGGGCGTAATAAGGAGAATTCAATTTGACAAATCTGATGAAGTCTTCGAGCCTTCTGGCCTTGGAAACCGTCATGTTGTTGATGTAGTCAGTGCATCTAGAGTTCGGGATGCTACGAGTTCAGCTTCAACTCGAGGCTTCGAATAAGTACTCAAAGAAAAAGTACGGCCTTCGGTTATGCCACAACAATTCTCAAGTGCCCCCTCATAACTGCAACATAGACACGAATCTTACCGGCAAACGGGTAACGGCACACGCAAATTGTCGGATTTGATTACTTCCTAGATCCTCGCCTTTGGAACTCCCTCTTGCGCATCTCACAAGAGTTCTGCATTGTATGCGTACAGCGATTAAAGTTTCGACTCGCAGGGAGTTGCGACGGCTCTGATTGAGGCAAGAGTTGCCCTACTGACAATTGCCAATAGACATCCGTACTTGCACCAAACCCAAGACAACCAGAGAGAGAAAGGCCTGCCCCGGATCCCGATCCTCGTAACCTCTGCTCATTTCTAGAATCCACAACGAAGCCAATTAAGCTTTTTACTGCTTCCGTCCAACGGCGCAAAGTCTCGCAATCTGGACAGGACGTGCGCCGAGGCCCCCGCTAACCCTAACCTTGTGCTCAGGCCCGGCCTCGTCAGATTGACAAAGATAGCAGATGGTGGCTGGCAATACAAGAGAGACCGTAGACGGCTCAGCCACAGAGCCGGTCGAACTCGTTCGGGAAGCTCAAAAGGGGGCGCATTAGCACATGTCAAAGGTCAAAGGGAAATGAATGACTTGTGCGTCCCTTTCTCCCGCAATCCTCCCCCCTCTTTCCGTAAAGCCCCGAGTGGGACGCGACGTTACCGCACGGTCCCATGTTTTGAACAGCTTGGGGGCGGTCTCTGAATCTGGGCAATGAGGGGAGAGCGATTGGAGAAGATGGAGAGGTTCCTGAAGCCAAAGACCCCCACCGTCTGGCCAATGGAGTTTGTCGAAATGCCACTCTGTCAACAAATGGAGTTCCCAGGGTCCTGTTAGGTGCTACCACCGTCTTTCTCTGCCTTGGAACTCCACGTTAAACGAGATTCAAGCTCAAACATACACAGTGGGTTTCATTTCCCACTTGGAAGCAGAGAGCAAGGGGTGCAAAAGTGTTGGGGTTGAGAACCTTTGTGTGGGCTTTTTCCAAGACTTCTGTTATCCGCACGTGGAACCGGACCCTTGGAAATCTTGCACGACTAGGCCAAATTGCGTTTAGGTCCGTTTAAGCGACGAAGCCTCTTCTTGAACGTGCTAGGATCTTGCAGCAGATTAGATCCGCGTTTCTCAACACCTCCCTCCCGAGTTGCCAGATACGCCTTCACCGCCCGGGACTGCTGGCTGCCTCTTTGATTGTTTCACCTTATGGTACCGAGGAAGGTGTCATAGAACTGACACTTCGGCCGCGAGGCCACGTTTGCGAAGGAAGACACCGAGACATTCTTCAACACCCACGGTACCGGTTTTTTGCTTTGTGCTCGACGTGTGGCGGCCATCATTGAGTCATGGAATATGCTGCGGAATACGCCCAGCCCGAGGCTCTGCGATGCTTTGGGGCAAGCCACAAGGTTAGACCCAGTGGCGAGTCACGTCTCGAGGCAGTCTCGAGCAATTCCAAACACTCGACTTTTGACAGCAGTAAGATGAAATTTTCTGCCGCCGAGCCTAACCCCCCCAATGCATGTGGGCAAGGCAAGGCAAAGACAACCTAGCAAGGGAAGGGGGGAAACCGAGAAAAAAAAAAAGTAGTCCAGACTGTTTGGACCCCTATTCCAGGGATCGTCTCTCACCGTGGGTAACGGCCCACCTTTAATGCTGCCGCTCCTAAAAAAAGGGTCAAGGAGACACGTCTCTCTCGTTGGCGGTCTGCTTCCCGGGTCCCTTGTGAAGTCTGACTAGAAACCTATTTGTCTTTTTCCTGACCTCGGGCACCTGAGAAAATTTCACCCTTTTCCCCAGACCTCTTAGCTCCAGCTTCCCTCTGGTTCCTTCCTTTACTCATCCATAATACGGTGCGGTCTCGAGAGCGTATCCTTCTTTCCCCTTCGTTCATCTCATATTATATCCATTGAGCAATAGTGAGGTGATTCCAAACAACCTGGTCTGCACCTTATCATACGCAATGGCGACCCAACGTACCTCGTCTACCGTGGTGGTCGAGAAGCCCCAGAAGGTTAGTCGGCAAACAGCTTCCGATGCGCCGCCATCGATCTCGATGACCGATCATTGATCACTGACCCTCCTCATAGAAGACCAACGAGCCTGTCTTCCCTGATATTCAGACCATCAGAGATGCCATCCCGGCTCACTGCTTCGAGCCTTCGCTCGTGACTTCCTACTACTATGTCGTCCGCGACCTCACCATGGTCGCCGGCCTCGTCTGGGCTGCTCTCACCTACATCCCCGGCATTCAGGACCCCATCCTGCGCGCCACCGCCTGGATGGTCTACGGCTTCGTACAGGGTCTCATCTGCACCGGTGTCTGGATCCTCGGCCACGAGTGCGGCCACGGCGCCTTCTCCAAGTCCGACAAGGTGAACAACATCACCGGATGGGCCCTTCACTCCTTCCTTCTCGTCCCCTACTTCTCATGGAAGTTCTCTCACCACCGCCACCACCGCTTCACCGGTCACATGAAGAAAGACATGGCCTTCGTTCCTGCCACCGCTCCCAAGCCCTCCAAGAAGCCCTTGTTCGGAAGCATCGACCTTCACGAGCTCTTCGAGGACACGCCCATTGCCCAGGCCATCAACCTGCTCACCCACCAGCTCTTCGGATGGCAGGCGTACCTCTTCTTCAATGCCACCGCCGGCAAGGGTAGCTTGCAGCGTGAGGTCAACGGTCTCGGACGTTGGCTGGGTGTCAGCCACTTTGGCCCCACCAGTGCCGTGTTCCGTCCTAATGAGGCTATCTTCATTGCCATCTCTGATATTGGCCTGGCCATCACCTTCTCCGCCCTGTACTATGCTTCCACCATCCTCGATGTCTCCACCGTCGCTCTCCTCTACGCGGTCCCCTACTTCTGGGTCCACCACTGGCTCGGTACGCCCCCCTCCCCCTTCACTTGTGATCCTTGAAGCTTGGCCTTTGGGTTTCACAAGCAAATGTGTTTATCATAGTGCTAATTGACCCCTCAGTTGCCATCACTTACCTCCACCACAACCACCCTGAGGTCCACCACTACACTGAGGAGGGCTGGACTTTCGTCAAGGGTGCCATTGCCACCGTCGACCGTGAGTTCGGCTTCATCGGCAAGCACCTCTTCCACGGCATCATTGAGAAGCACGTCGTTCACCACCTGTTCCCGTAAGCTTTGCCTCCCATCATGAGAAATCTCCCGAGCCATCGCTAACAGATCCTAGTCGCATTCCTTTCTACAAGGCTGACGAGGCTACTGAGGCCATCAAGCCTGTCCTTGGTGACCTGTACAACCACGATGGCCGCAGCTTCCTCGGCCAGCTCTGGTCCGTTTTCGGCACTCTCAAGTATGTCGAGAACGACCCCAACTGCCCCGGCGCCATGAGATGGGCCAAATAGAGGGTGGTTGCTGTACAAAATGCAACACGGTTTTCTTTAGACGGACATAAAGAGACATAGACGACATAGACATTTTTAGACTCAAAGACCGCAGAGTCAAAGCTTGATAGAGCGGAAGCGCGTATGGAGTTTAGAGACAACGGGAAATAGACCAAAAGTTCTAGACCAAATGGCAGGGCCAAGGCTCAGAATTCTTTTGAAACTGCATCTCCACCGTGAATAAGGCACAGTCTTGTGGTTCACCATGATGTGAGATATTCGTATTTTAGGTTCTCGTGATGACAGACGCGTTAAAGTTAATGAGTACTTTTGGGCAATAGGCGACCTTGCCAAATGGTTTCCTGAATAGGAAAGGAAGTACCGCGAGATAACTGGAAATGAGTAATATGGGATTACACTTGAACAGAGTTTATACCAAGCACATCAGATTTGGGGATCGAGTGCAACCTATCTCCATGTTCCCGCTTAATTTGCATGACACGCGGTTTCCAGCCAAGGAGTAGCCCAGTCAATGAGTGTGTACCATTCTGGACCATCCGATTCGCGCTTGCGTCGTCTCTTGGGTGCCACGTTGGTGAACTCGCTTGTTCCCAGACCGAAGGAAAAGCGCAGCAAGCCCAGCTCCCTGGGCTCCCATCATCCGAGCTAATATAACAGAGTTTACACAGCTTGAAACAGTGCGCGCAGCATATTCACGACAGCCTCGCAGGCTGACGATGGCTACATGTACATCTGAACTGAGTCGTGCAATTCAAAGGAGCCTCTGACTGTTGTGCAAATCCAGCCACGTACCGTAACCTCCGGTCTGGGTTGGCTTGCGCAACTTCTCAGCAGGAAGCACCGGGGCTAGCGGGGGGTCTAGATCACGAAATAGCTCCTGCAGACTTATGTGTGTTCGTCTTATATCATCTCGAGGAGATGGCTCCGGGTCTCATGTCATAGAAGATCATCGCCCGCTTCCTGTCAAAGACTGTTATGTCCCTCTGTTCTCTTATTGTCTCTGACCTGTCATCTCATCATCCACCAGTCATTCAATCATTGACAAAGCATCGCTGGCATCTTGCCCTGATCAAGACGATCAACAACGGCGACACAATGGCGTCGGCCTACATACTTGCCGTCTACTTCCTAGTAGTTGTCCTCGCCGGTCTTCAACTCAAACAGAAGATCAAAGCTCTCAAGTCTCCCCTGAGAAAACTTCCTGGGCCTTGGTATGCTCCTCTCACAACATTGCATTTACGTTATCTCTTCTCAACCGGAACCATCTGGAAGTTGGTAGAGAGAAGCCACAACAAATATGGGCCGATTATCCGACTCGGCCCCCGACAGGTCTGGATCTCTGACAAGGAGGCCATGAAGCAGATCTTGGTCAAGACGGATCTTCCCAAAGTTGCCATGTATGCCGAAATTTCTAGAGACAAATTCAGTCCCGGACTATTTGGCGAGATGTAAGTCGTTCCCTTTTTTTTCTGCCCACAATGTGCACTTGCAACGTGAGCCTAACTCAACGTCGT